CTCTTGATAAAGACTGAATGCTCTTCTGGTTTTAAACCAATTTCATCTTCTCCCTAAAATTATTAAAGGCAGATTGTTGAAGGGAATTTGTAGAAATTCCTATAGTGTAATTGTGTAAATTTACCCATCCCAAAAGGTAGGTGCCATAGGCCCAGCAGACCTAATGTATTTAACCCATTAAGCACCAGCGCTCTCCCCTTGACGAGTAAAATCGTCTGGTGTTAGACAGAGTAAAATAATAAAGTAGGGCGCAATGCAACTCAATCGGTTAATAAGAAGCATTATTTTACTTTTGGTTGGTGTTGGTAATTTCAGGTGGTATTTTTTATTAGCATGGCCATGGTTTTGCTAGTTCAGTTCCTGTTTCTAATATATTCTCCCAAATCAAAATTTACCACACATTCACCACGTAGCACCACGGTAGCACAAACATCATATATTAATAAATAACATTGACAATACACCTTACCTGATCATCACGTTGCTTGTTGCTTGCAAGTTTCATATGGCAAGTTTGTGATAGACAACCAACTTTTGCGGGAGGTGAATTAGCAAAACATTTATAGCCTTTTGATTGTCACAAGGTGGAAAGTACACCCTCCAATCTTTGATTATTTCGCCATAAAACAATGCCAGCATCCTATCCTGGTTGAGCTTTCTGCAGAACAAACGAAAAACCTTGGTTATGAACTCATACATGTCCAATATCACCATGGGCCACGGATCGTGAATATAGTTCACGATCCGTAACACATGGTGAAAGTGTGAAACAATCACGATGCAACACAGATCGTGAATATACTTCACGATCCGTAACACATGGTCAAACAATCACTATATGACACAGATCGTAAATGTACCTCACGATCCGTAACACATGGTAAAAAACCTCAAGCTGTGCATGTTCACCTCCAACAGTGCAACAAACACTAATCATGCAATTGATGCCCGGGCCTGGCCACTATAAATACTATAAATCCGTACGATCCGTGCACATCGTGCGTATGGTGAAAATAAACAGATATTTTCATCCTTATTACCTCACATACGTTTACATTTTCATATATCAATGTGTTTTGTTATTACTATACTTCGTATATGTTTACATCTTCATATATGAGTGTGTATGCTTCGTTCTCCAAAAGGCGAAAAAGAAATGAACATATATTTTTCATTGACTGTTATTACTTATTACCTCATGTATATTAGACATGTATATTAGACATTTTAAATTCTTAATAAATGAATGTATGTGTATCCCTCGTTCTCCAAAAACCACGAATTTTCATTGCTATGTAGTCCTGATTTGTTAATGTTTAGTGCGGTTTGCCTCGCCGCATGCATTATACATTTAAATATTAAAGTTCACTCAAGCGGGATTTTAAGTTACGACGCCGAGTATCTGTCATCTAAATAAAGGCGACAGTTCCATTGCCCCTTTTCATTTAAATATTAAACTGGCACTCAAGCGGGATTTTAAGTTACGCCGCAGTATCTGTCATTTAAAGGCGACAGTTCCATTGCCCCTTTTCATACTAGAGACGCATTATGCGTCTCTATGAACTTCGGCAAACATTTATTAATATAATAAACAAATATTTTCATTCTTATTACTGCACATACGCGTTTACATTTTCATTTATCAACGTGTTTTGTTATTACAATAGCTCATATATGCTTACTGACATCTTCATATATGAATGTGTATGCTTCGTTCTCCAAGGCGAAACTAAGGAATGAACATATATTTTCATTGTTATTACCTCATGTATATTATACATTCTAAATACTAGTAATATATCAATGCATGTGTATGCCTCGTTCTCCAAAAAACCACGAATAAACACATATTCTCATTGTTATATATAAGCTCCTATATACATATTAATATTAATCAGTGTTATATATTAGCTACCTTATTTGCTTATGTCTATAGTCCTGATTTGTTTATGGCTAGTGCGGTTCGCCTCGCATGCATTACATTTCACCCGTTTAGCATACACCTCAACGGGTATTACCCATATGTTCTCAATTGAGAATATTCGGTATTACCCGTGCCAGACCAGAGGAGGTTGGACAGCTAATTAGCGAGTTGTCACGTGAGCTCTCGACCAATGAGATCGCTTTATTTTCCATTGTGTTATCTGCAGAATTTGGACAGAAAAATTTGCATTCGACGGAAAATAAATCGGAAAATATTAATATTAAAATTTTCTTGCAAAATCTCAAGTGTTGTAGTACTACTACTAAAGATCTGGCGATATCTGCAAAAATCTCTGAGGTAAACTTTATTTTCAATGTTATTTTGATGTTTGAAGTTAGTCGACTACCCGCGACGTGTTGACTCAAGTCTAAATATGTTTACGATGTTTAAAATGAAATATCTAGAATTCCCATGGTTCGATTTTCTTCACTTTTGGTAGTCGTCAAGAAAAATATATAAGCTTTAAATCTGCTGGAATGATCCCGGTGATCCCCCGGCAGTTTTCGAGATATTGACCGTTGAAGTGACTACTCGCTAAAATGGCGTCTAAGTGTCTAACACCGTGGAAAGAATTTACGCCATCAAAGATGATATTTTCAATGAATTTTTGTTAAAGTGCTAAAATATTATTTAGAAGACTTAGGAGTTGTTTTAATATTTTTGTAGAATTTATATCTGTGCGATTTTCAAATTTTTGTTGTCTTTGGCCGACGCGACTGGATCGTGTACGTATTTCAAGACCAGCTGATCGCCTGATCCTGGGGTTTTTGCATAGATATCTATGGGTTTTTGTGGCAAATCGAGCTGCGGAATCCTCAGCATGGACAAATCAGTGTCATAACAGCCCATTTCAAACCATCAGAGAGCTCCACTTGTTTTAAAGCAATAAAACAAGTTTTTATTGTATTATCATATGTATCATATATAATTAATATAAACAAATAAGGGAGTGGTCATTATTTATGGGGAGGGGGGTTGGTAAATGGGGAAAATAAGGATTAAAAACTTCGTTGACCCCTCCCCTCCAGACTGAAGGCAAACTTTTTGTGCCTCCCCCCTCTTAAAAGTAGAAACTTTTCTGACGCCTCCCTCCTCCCCCAGTGTGGATTGAAAAATTAACAGCAATGAAACAGGCGTGCATTGCAGGTAAAGTTAGATATTAGGACAATCTGTTTAAATCTAGCTCATGATGTTTTACCATGGTGAATATGATTCAACCATATATGATTAAAAAATATATATTATGTGTTACTACTGCAATGCAACATTTGTCCTACCATAACCCTAACCCATGGCCCGTCTTCATACAGCGAAATGATTTGAACACAGGGCTTTTTTTAAGAACTTGTCTGGGGGGTGGGCATCTACAAAAAGGGACCATACTATACTGAGTGTGGAGAGATGACAGATGGTTGTTGGTGACAAAAAGTTTGGTGTGGTATTGTATGTATTAGTAGGGGGGGGTCTGGGGAAAATTTATTTGTATTTTTCCCCAGGACTGAAATGTGAGCATTGATAGACCGAATTGTGCTTTGATAGACCGAATCTGGTCAGTTAAGTGTACTTGCATGGTATGTTTATGTAAATACCACAGCTGGGTCACTCAGGGGGTAGGAAGCTTGTTAAACTTAGTGGGCACCACTCCCACAAGGCACTACCATGGTTGGCACAGAGCAGGGAAATTTTGAAAATTTTGAGTCTCTAGATCATTAGCCTGCGAATACAGACGCCTCACATCGGGCGAAATTTCGCCCGATGTGAGGCGTCTGTATTCGCAGGCTACTAGATCATTGGAAATGGCATTTTCAGAGTCTTCTTTTTTGCTATTTGTGATTATAGAAACCAGAACTCTAGACATGGTATTTAAGTTCAAAAACTTTTTTACCCCCCCCCCCCTTTCTCTGTGTTAAAACTTTGTTTGGGTAAAACTTTGTTTGCCCCCCCTCCCATTTACCACCCCTCAATAAATAATGACCACTCCCTAAGTAGCATGTTATTGTTGGGATCTCAGATCAATTTAATAAATATATAAATAGACATCTTCTTGTTTTATTGTTGCATCAATTTTAATTGGAAAAAATACTCACAAAGTAGATCAAGTGTATGGATAAATTATTCATTTACTAAAGTACATTTTTACAGTTATTTATGCGACCTCGTACCCAGAGTCCTTCCTCTTGGGGAGAAAAGACCCCGGTAGATGCTGGTCACGTGATCTGCTAAAATCTAGCAGATTTCTAATTAACTATCTTGAATTCCTTTATGACAATCATATACAAAATGCAAATTATAAATTAACATATAAAAATCATCCAAATATCAAATATTTATTGGTAACCCCTCTTGGATTACTAATTAAAAATCTGCTAGATTTTAGCAGATCATGTGACCAGCATCTACCAGGGTCTTTTCTCCCCTGGGTACGAGGTTGTTATTTATGTACTTAGTCTTATTTGCATGAGTGTACATGACAGATTGTTTTAATTAGATATACCCAGTTATATCATTTATAACATCAGGGTCTGAAATTTGCGGTATCCCGATATCCACGGGATACTGAAATTTGGTTTTGGATACTAAGTTTATTTTACTTGTATCCCGATGGGATACCACATTTTTTTAAAAAACGGGGATAGCAGTTAATGTTTTAGTAGTCTCCCCACATTTTTGTTCATTAAATAGTGCTGTAACACAAGTCTAGCATTCGTCTTAACGTTGTATTTATGCATGTAGTCCACTCATGGTTCAATTCGCGAGTCGCCATTTTGAATAGTGTTTCCACATTGAAACAACTGTCCAGACTTCATTGAAAAGAATCTTTTTGAAATCAAGAAAAGTCTAGCCTGCGTAGCAGGCGGTATTCGCGGGCACGTGAAGAAAAGTCAAGAAGATTGTAAGGAAATTTGAAGGTCGATAGTTAGCAAAAAAGAAATACATTTTTTTTGCTGCCGTCATGAACTAAAATACTCATAAATAATCCATGCTTTCTTGTGATATTATGTAAAAAATATTTAATTAAAACCACCAAAACTCCTGATGCAGGCAATGGTCTTCATGATAATACAGCCAATAATGATGATAATGACGCTGTAGTTCCCATTTGAGTGCATACTGATAGCATTAAAAATCAGAGAAGTTGACACTTAGACTTTAATCTATAATTAAATAACCCTGTTAACTGTTAAGAAATTGAATATTTGAACTGTATAAGTTCCTTTTAGGATTCTAGTATATTAAACATAAAATGTGATGGACGAAAATGCTTGACGTAGTTGACTAAGAGTAAGCCTTAGAGTGATGTTGGGTCTGGCCCTGTGGGATACGAAAAGCCAACTAGTTAAGTATCCAGATTTAGGATACTGGATTATCGGGAGGGATACCAAATTTTAAAACCTTGGTATCCATGTGGATACTTAAAAAAAAATCAAGACCCTGAACATATGGTTTGTTTAATTAAAATTGCTGGGAAAAAAAGTTAGCCAATTGAAATAAATGCACTAATAACTTGCTAAATATAGCTAATTGCTATTTATTATATAAAAACATCTGTCAGCATACACTCATGCTTTTTCCTTTTCGGGGGGTTAACGCTTTTAGAATCTCTCTAACCCCTCTTATAAAGTTTTGAAAACCAAAATTTTGCTTCAAAAGTCTTTAACCCTAATACCAAACCCCTGTAAAAAGCTCACTCAGTGGTGCTGCTTGCCCCCCCCCTGAAAGGTTTCCACCCCTCCTTTAAAAAAAATAAAAAATCCACCCTTTTTAATTAAAAAAGTCAACCCTATACTTGATACACTGAACATAGTATACAATAGACATCCACGACATCTGCAGCAATTAGTGGGTGCAAATACTTGCATAGTTGAAAAGCAATATAACCAACATGTTGTCATCCAGTTCCATAGTCTAGTCAATTGGCAATTCCAGCTTTTAATTTATGTGTGCAGGGGGCAACAGGAAGTAAGGTATCATATTGCTGATTATGCTGAAAAATTTTAATAAAATAAACTAAAAGCTGGAATTGCCTATTGCACTTGGGTCCCTAATGGATTCAATGGTGCTGGCCATATTCTTAATACATTCACTGTTTTATCTTGTTCACGAAGAGTGAGGTATTATGTCTTAATTTAATTTTCCAAATGATGTTGGTAGTTTTTCTCACGAGCATCACCGATGCACTTGAATGCTACAGCGTGGGCAATTTCCTCCTCATCACTTTCATCTCTCACTTAAACGTTATCACTTTCTGCCCTATCACCTTGATCACCTCTTTCATTATCATATCCATCCTGAACAGGCTCAAGACCAACCAACCACTCAAGTAAATCTCTTTCTACAAAATCATAACAAGAAATTTATTATTTGATACATTATCATCTCTAAAATTAGCAAACATGTAACCTCTAAAATTATATTCTCACAACCACCCACAAACAGGCATCATACTCAGCAAAATGTATAAAACAATACATACAAATAACTGAATAACAATATACCTTCAGACTCATCTGAGAACCAATGTATATAAACTATACACAGTGCACATATATGTAAAAATCTATCCATACAAACAGGTATCATACTTCAGCAAAAATTTATTAAACAATTCGTTTAACTCAAAACATGTACATATGTATCACAGTGACACAGTACATATACACACACAATAGGGTCAAATTAGAAGCATTATAAACACAAGTATGACGCCATAATTTTGTACAGTGTATTTATAAAATTACAGTACAAGAATAAAACAACAAAGCGGAAATTTGACTATAAAATAACACGATAACTGTAATGCATTGTAGTATACCAACCTTAAATACAGCGCTTGTTTTCACGTTGATGATACACGGAGATTTAACGCCATCCAACTTAGAAAGAAGAGCCTCGCTATTGGGAATATAAAATTAAACACAATTCCTTTTCTCAGACGGATTATTTATAAAGCTAAAATGACGGCACGTCCCATGCAATTTAAATTAAAAAAGGTAAACTTGATATAGTAAAACACAAGTCATAATGATGATCGCAACAATACAGCAATAGCATGCTGTTTCTTTTCACAAAATATCGCAGCCTGACACTCTTCCCGTTCGAAAGCTTCCATATTAGTTTAGTCAGAGAGATGTTCACTCCTCGACAGTCAACAGTCAATGAAGCCACGCGCGGAATTAGTCGCTCAATACCCATGACACAGAATAGATAATAGGACCAGAAGTCTTACTCAAGCGAAAACATGTCCCATCTTTTATACTGCGCATGCGCGAGCTAAACAAGTGTAATGCAGTGTTGACAACAACCTCGTTCCCAGGGTATTTAGGAAATACCCTGGTATGGGCTGGTCACGTGCCTCCTCCAAAGTTTAGCGCCCGAGGGGGTGTGGGAAAAGTATCAAATTACATGATTCCAGTGGAGATATTTTGTTTAACAGTTAAAAACATTATTAAGTTCAAAATACTTGCTAATTTTTGTTTATTTTCTTTGCTTTGAATTTACAAGAACATTCTTACATTTTTACCAACAGTCAAGTCAAGAAACCAAGCAAATCGTTACTCACAGTGCTCTCTCGTGTTGTTATTCAATGCCGTCTCTTCACACTCGAGCGCGGTTTTATAACAAACGTTTATTATTATGAGCTTTTCAGTCATCATTTCTACATATGTAATGTTTTTAAAATACGCCATTAGATTTGTCCTGTCTTGTAAATGTTTATATGCTTTGCACCGATTTAATTACTTGTTTATAAGATTGAAAGAAACAGTATTGTATTGTCTGGGACTAGAGCCCAATATTAGCAAATGTAAACATTTGATACTAGCCAAACAGAGAAAGTCTGTCAGTGATTATAAAATTTTGGATTTAGTACATAGTATTCGGTGATTATAGTCAGGCTTTAGCCTTTTTTTTGGTCTTTATTAATCATAATATTTTCCTAATATACTAAATCTATATATTGTAAATTTACAATGTCAGACGCGCACAGACTGTCATACGAATAAACATAAATTTTCGAGTTTTCTACTTCTACTAACATTTTTAAAGTTTTCATTGTGAATCATCTGTTTATTTCTAGTTCATTAGTCATTAATATGCTCTACTGAAAAACAAGGCTCTCAAATATATTTGTATATTTATTTGATAGTGTCATAGTGATATATATGCATTTACAAGCAATCCTGGATATGATAAAGACGATACAAACTGTCCATTAAAAAATAACGGGATTCTATTCCACAAAGAAAAATATTTAAATCTCACTTGTATTATTAAGAATATATATAAAGCAAAAAATTTAAACTTGTGTGAGTTGTGTCAAAACGAAAGCTGTTTATAAAATTTATAAATGTTGTAAACACTATTACTAATATAAAGTGCCCATTGAAAGACATAATATAGTATATTGTCGTTTGACTTATCTTTGATGTATGATTTTAATACTGTAGCTTTAACATATACCATGATTGTTGAGTTTCAGCAATGCCAAGGGCCAATGCAGGAAGTTTTATAAGCTTTTATAGTCAACAATCTGGATACAGTTGGCGTCTTGGCGATATTTCGGAAATCAAAAGATCTCGCTATTTCGTT